CATAAAATTCTAATTTTTTAAGAAAAATTACATAATAGACCATATGCGTTTCTGCCAACAGAGGGAGTTTCATTGGGTGATTCTGAACATAATTTTGGTGAATACAATCGGAAAGATTTACCTAGAAGGATTGGAGCAGACACTGCAGCTGTGCTTACTTATTCTGATCAAACTCAACTAAAATTCTCTGAAAATGTGCAGTTTGATGCTATGATGGCAAACCAAAGTTCACCAGAGTCAGAATATGAGGTTCTTTTTAATGGCAATTCAGTCTAGTAATTAATGTCTTTCTCCCAATAAGGATATCACTAGCAGAATATCTAATCACCTTAATTCACTAGGATGGGAAATTAGTGACGAGGAAGATTGGTTTACCTCCTTTAGATCCTTCACTGGGGGATTTTGATATCAGTACCTTTCTGGTAAGTTGCCTATCTGAGCAAATAATGCACTATGTTGTATAATTATGAAAAAGTTCTGCATTCTTATCCCACGCTTTTCAAAAGAAATGTATGCTTATTACATTCATAGATTGAACTGCTTTCTCTGAATTGTCAGTCTTTTCAAGTTAGAAAATCATTTATGGTAGTTTATCATTGATCAAAAAAAAAAAAAAAAACCTTATGGTGGTTTATCTTTTCCTTGAGGTCTGACTTGGATTCTTGATATCTTTTTCTGAGAATATTCAACTTTCAATACTAATGAATATTTTCCATCACTAATCATTTTCCTTAAAATTGATGCTTATTACTCCTTCATAGTTTATAAACAGTGAAGACCTTGAAGAACTGAGGGAGCTGGGTTCTGGTACATTTGGGACTGGATATCATGGAAAATGGAGGGGAACAGATGTGGCTATTAAGAGGATAATTAAAGAAGAGTTGCTTCCCCAGTCAATCATCTTAGCAAGAAAAATTGGTAATGCTCCCTTAATCCCCTAGACACATTACTAATTATTATATGTGCTGCCTTGGTGGCTTTGCCATTTATATACCCCTGCCATTTATCAAACCAAATCAAGGAAATAGAATAATACTCCTATTTCGCTTCACATTTCAGAATGCTAATGGTTTCTCCTTTTTGTGTCTAAGACTGTAATATTCTCCCACCTCGATATTGTTTGCTTGCTTAATATAATTCTAAAGAATCTGCACTTGCATATTCAGACCATTGAGTTCTGGTGCAAAACTGACATTCTTTCAAAGCATCATCATCATCCAAACGTGGTGGCGTTTTATGTTGTAGTGCAAGGTGGTCCTGGGGGAACACTGGCTACTGTCACAGCGTACATGGTTGAATGGTTGATGGTTCTCTAAGGCATGCTTTACTTCAGAAAGAAAGGTAAAGGCTCCTATTATACTGTTATCATGTGTAAGTTTGTCAATTATCACTATCTACATCATGTTCTAAAGGGTCTCATTTATTTTTGTTACTGAAATCAGCATGGCAGTTATGCAGTTTTTATAGCAATATATGTACTATGATTTTAGATTAGCACATGCCATGAATTTGGTTTCTAGTACTTTTTACAAATGTCAGCTGCTACTTCACCATATACTATTTGAACCAATCTTGATTTGCAAGCATCTTGATCGTTGCAAGAGACTAATAATTGCTATGGATGCTGCATTTGGAATGGAGTATCTGCATTCAAAAAATATTTGCATTTTGATCTGAAATGTGACAACTTGCTTGTGAACTTGAAAGATCCATCAAGACCAATTTGCAAGGTATTATTTATGGTGGTATGCATTCTGTGAAGGCTAATCTGGTTATCCCTTTGGTGCTAAGTGATTCTGAGCTATGATCCCTTTGTACTAGGTTGGAGATTTTGGACTGTCTAAAATTAAAAGGGATACCCTACCTTGGATGGCCCCAGAGCTCCTGAATGGGAGCAGCAATGAGGTCTCAGAGAAGGTAATATGTCACATTAGTTTTTTTTTTACCTTTTTTTTCTCTTGGACAGCAATATGTCATTTTTGTTATTCTCTGAGAAGAGGAATAAGAAAAACAAAACACTAGAGAATATACATTAATGTCATCTTGATCAATGCTTGCTTCATGATGTTGTGGTTATGTCATTTTCACTCACTATTGTGGTAGTTTAATTTTTGGAGGGTTTTAAAATGAAATTTTAATGTCTATCAACTACTTGAGGAAAACTAGTAGTGGAGCTTGATATGCAATGTGGAAGACAGTTGGTCTGCTCAGATATGTTAAGCTGTAAAACTTGATGTTTGTTCTTAATGCCTTCTTGTTATAATTTCTGCAGGTTGATGTGTTTTCCTTTGGCATTGTTCTCTGGGAGATTCTCACCGGGGAAGAGCCATATGCTAACAAGCACTATGGAGCAATCATAGGTGTGATTTTCCATTTTTCATGTTCTTGCATTAGAAGATTTATTAAAACTGTTATGGTGGCAAATGAGAATCTGATGCTCTAATGAGAGATGTTCCAGTTCGGTCATCTTCCTAGTTATTTGTAATTCAAAATGACAGTTTAGGCTGAATATTTTCATTGGCATGCAGGAGGAATGGTAAACAACACACTGAGGCCGACAATCCCAAGCTACTGCGATTCTGAATGGAGGAGGTTAATGGAGTAGTTTTGGGCACCTAATCCCACATCAAGGCCATCCTTCGCAGAGATTACTAGTCGTTTGTGCACAATGAAAGGCGGCTAGGGAAGCCAAGGTGCAAGATCATAAAGTATCTAAATAATACTCTAATGATTCTTCATGATGTATTACATGATAGATTCATTCATTCAGTTGTATACCCTGACACGTAGAATCCCATTACAATTAGTTCAGAGAAATCAGATTCCATGTTATTTTTGAAATGGAAGAGTTTCTCCTCAAGGAATCATTTCGTACATAACATCTTCATCTTTGTCCTTTTCTCAGATGTAGCCTGATGGAATTTTCATCGTGTTGTATTTCCTTCTTAAATTAAAACCATTCATTCTATTTTCTGTTTGGAGTCTTTGGACTGTCCAGTGACTACTTTGGTGATTTCTGCAATTATTTGATTTTGCTATCAATGGCACAGTAGTTTGAGTATTGTGTGGCAAATAACTCATGCAAAAACCATAGAAACAGCAATATCTATGACGAAAGAGGCTCAAGGGATGAAACTATCACCTTCAGGGTAATGTGTTGACAACGTACCTAAAATAAGCCTTATTATCTTCATGCAGTAATTTCCTTAGAAAGCAATGTCTGAATAATGCTAGGATGATGAAGAATTGTGCACTTGCCATGCGGATGCCAGCATTATTGGCCTCCCCTTCCTCCCAAGGAGGAGACAGCCCTTCTCAGTGGCCAAAGTACACCCATCACAGCCATAAACAGACCACATCATCCCAGCTTGACTCAGACACTTCAATCCCACCCCTCGAAACCCAGCTCTCCCAAGTTGTCTTCTCCATTGATCTGCCCTCTCGTGCCTCTCCACCCTATCTGCCTCTTCATAAGCTACAATGTTCCTGATGTCTTCTGCAAAATGAACCCTCTCAATCTTCATCCTCTGAGGACTGTTCCGAGGGAGACTGGCCTCAAGGGAATCAAAGATGGCAGAATAATAGTGAAGGGCTTCAAGGAACCTCCCCAGGAAGAAGGGCCCATTATGGTTGGCATCTTGCTCCATCACCGTGACCAAAGTTGGACCTAGTTTCTTGATTGCTTGGAGAATTGCCTGGAGAGAGCCCCTGCTTTCTTTCACATATTTATGCAAGTGCATTATACTGTTGACGAATAACGTCTCCCCTTCCGTTAACCGCAAATTCTCTGTTGTTAACAAAGACGTTGTAACAGGCTTTGATACTATATTAAATTCCAGACAAATGCCTAGCAAACTAGCATCCTCAACGACAGCTTTCATGCTGGCTTCAAGCTCAAACGGGTTTCCACCATTGGTTAATCCAGTGATTCGGAGTCTTGGAGGACCTTGGGGCCTGGAAGCCAGCGTTCTTATAAGGGAAGGCCATTGAAGGGCGTGTTCCATGCCCAAATCAAATTATATGTAATAAATCCTTCCCTTGTGCTGCTTGAGACATGGCTTCATCTGCAACCATGAAACCAAATGCAATGTAAGGAGTTGTTTGGTCAAGGAGATGAAATGCTTCAATCTTCTCCTCCCTACTAATCAAGGATACATCCATAGAACAATTTGTGAAAGTCCCATTTGCATTCACATTTTGAAGCAGGGAAAGTCTAGATTTCAGCCCCACAGCAAAGCAGTAGGAGACCCTTTGCAAAGAATCACCCCATGGAGAAGCACACGCCCAGATTTGACCCAATATGGACTCCGCCAGCTGCGTGTCCCGGCAGCCTACTGCGTCCGCACATGCTAGCAATAGGTGAACCAGGTAAATTAAGGCCTTGGTCCAGACCATAACTCCACTGTTTCGTCAGGTTGGCATTGTTCACCATTGCAAATTCCTCGAGATTGTCTTGTTGGGTAATGGGGGAGTTTTGATCTTCCTTTTCGTTCAGATCATCATCGATGTTGATGAAGCTGTCGACAAAGTCATCTACCTCGGAGGCTGCTAACTGGGGTGTACCGGTGTCGTTGGAAGGAGAAAAGGATTCAATTTCAATCTCGTTCAGTACCTCCCATTCTCCTTGTTCGAGCTCGGCTCTTGCCGGACAGAACCGCTGGATAGCAAGGTCCTGATTGAGGCTCTCGTAAATGGGGAAGGAAAGCCAGTCATTCATGTCGTCCGTGGGGGAGGGATGAGAAAGGTACAAAGCTTAGCTTAGACACAAACTGTGAATATGGTTTGCGTTCGTTTTTTAACAATGTTTCATTAGAATATTCTCTTTGTTTTGGAATGGACGATTTGCCCTTTTTCATTATTTTATTAAGTACGTTATTTTTCCCTGATTTGCCTAATTATGTAGCGTATTAAACTTGGTCTTACCTTGGATTGGAGAAGTTGAAGGGGAAGTGCAGGAGGAGGGGGAGCTGCCGTCTTTTGTGTTTGGCTTACTAATTTTAATGGAGGAGAAAGAAGATAAAATTCCTTATGTTCCTCTGTTTTCAATTTCTTTAAATAGGAGAAATTGAGAGAAACTGATTTATGTATATTTAATTTTTTTCAATTTTTTAAAAATAGATATATAAAAATAATTTATACCAATTATCTTTTCATTAGTGAATTTTAAAAATTTTATTCTATTTTATTTTATTTTTCTTTAAATTATTTAATTAGATAAAAATATTTTTTTCTTTTTTTTTAATATTTATCTATCCAAACAAAATTAACGTCAATTATTTTCTTTCCTCCACCTCTCCTTTCTTTCTTTTCCCTCCACTTCTCCTTTCTTTCTTTTACTAATATTTATTTAAACAAACACTTAGTTTGAGGTTGGATTTGAAAAAAAGAAGCAAAAATTTTAGGCAAGTATCATGCATTTTGATTTAGAAGTAATTATGAGAAGGGATTCATGTTTTACTATTCAAACGGTATAAAGTACAATTCAATTTATAAATTTACTAAAATTTTTTTAATAAATTAACATAAGAATTAATTTTATTAAAGATATTTTAATAAATTCATAAATTGAACTGTACTTTTAATATATAGTCTCATTTATAAAGCACTTTTTTCTTATTGAAAAATGATAGAGTAATAATATTTTTCTTGGTATACAATGATTTACTTATACAATGTGAAAATGAAATGGTATTTGGTAATTATCCTTTTTTGAAAAATAATTAATTTATAATATTTATCAACAACAAATTCTTACTATAATCACATAACAACAAATTAATAATGCATAAAGATTGTATTACTTTATTAAAACAGCTAATAAGTAAAAATAGGTATCAAATTTATCCACCTATGTAACATATATCTAGGGAGAAGGACAAAAAATTAGAGAATCAAATGAAAGTAGGTTGAGGTTGAACGAAAGGGTCATGAGAAGGGATGATGAATGAAAAGAACAAAAAATGTTTTAAAGGAATTTTAAGTGTCATAAAAAGCCGGCCTTAAAGAAGAACGCTTTGGGAGGGTTAACACAACCAATAGGTGGGACCAAATTCTTCTCTTTAATTGGGGTTATGTAGTTGTCCATGGTCATTTCCTCCTTGGGCGGCAAACAAGCAATGAGACATTCAAAGGTGGTCAACGCTATATACTTCCCTAACTTTTTCCTAATCACAACTTTTTTGTAATTTCCCCCTATTTGAGATGCAAAGGAGAAGAGGAAATGAGTTACACTTTTCATTAAACAAAAAAAAGATTTGCTAGTTCTTCTTTTGGGATGAATATGAGGAAGTGGAGAGATTCTTACAATTGAAGTTTAGGTGTGCGTGAAAATATAATGCTCATTGTACGAGTTTCGATGAAAAACATGAGACGATTTTTTTTTTTATAGTATGAGTTGTATTTTTTAACTTTAATCATGGATTATAAAAAAAATAACATGAAAAAAAATTTAAGTTTATTGTAATTTTGAGTTTTTTTGTTTTGATTCTAAAAATTTTAAAGCCTTAAAATAAAATTGAAAAAAATTTATAAATTAATTAAATTTAAAAGTTTAAGCACTAATTTAAAATTTTAGACTCAATAAATTGTTAATTTTTAATTATAAATTTTGATTGGTTAAATTTTAAAAATCAAAACAAAAAATCAACAGTAACAACCAAACTAAAGGTAGGTTTAATTAATAAAATTAAAGTTTATATTTGGCCAAAAAAACAACTCGAAGTTTACATCGGAAAGACCAATCACATAAGAATTATCTTTTTTATGAATCAATCACATAAAAAAATATTGAAGAAACCAAAAGCGGTTCATATTGGATAAACCAAAAGCGGTTCATACCACGTTTTACGTGCCCAATTCCAAGTTTCAAACCCCAACGGTCAGAACACACACATTCTCTCTGTTGGAAACCCTAAACATCGAATCCCCAAATCTAAACCCTAACAATGTAGATTATCCTTCAACCTTGCATAGTTTCAATTCCAAATTTAACAAGAATTGATGACGAGAATCGCAGTGTTAATAGAAGGGTTTTTACTTCAGAAGCTGCTTCGTCTCCGAAGTAACGAAAGAAGCGATCGCCTCTCCTTGCAACCCAATTTTTTTCGCCGTCCCGCCGACTACTCCTCCAACGGCGCCGGTGAGTTTGTTTTAGAAAAATCTTCTCTTTCGAGTCCCAACTTTTGCTTCCCCTAGCATCGTAAATCGTGGCAGGCTCTTTATTCGTATTACTTTTTGTCAAGTTGGTTTTGATTTTAGGCATGCAAGTTTGTCTAGTGATATCGTGTTTGTTTCAGCATTGGTAAATTTTAGTTTCAGATCAGATGATTTTAGTTTGTTTTGGGTGGTACATTTTAAACCTCTCTGGGCCGGTTAAAAGGAATTCTATTGCTGTTAAGATTCTGATTTCATTATGTATGTTAATTTGAGATTATGGTATGCGTTCGAATCCGGGATTGATTTGGCTTGAATTCGTATGGCTTATGTTTACAATTTGAGAAGATGGTATATGTTTCAATTATAGATTTCTTTGATTTGTAGATCATGACTTCTGTTTTCAATTTGGGAAATGTTGTGTACTCTTTCAAAATTTAAGCATTCGTCTTAATAAGTTTCTTTTCTGCTCTTTTAGGGTCAAGAATAAAAGCCTACACCAACTAATCATTCCTTTATGAAATTTGTTTGTAGTCAAATTACTGTATTTGATTCTGTTTTTCTATTAGTTACTAATGAGTCTTGTTGATTTGGTTTGTTTGCATGATTTACCCCTTGATTGCAGAGAGAAGAATATATGGAGCCAAGTGGGTCTTTTGGTCCAGAGCATTTACTTAATATCTATTTATTTTTATATTTATTCATCATGAATTGTATATTTTGATTTGAAGTGGATAAATCTAACGGGTCCAACTTCATGTTAGTCATGGTTAAAGGTGTCATTTCCTTGTTAGTGATCTTGGGATGATCTACTTGTTACATTGCCACAATGCGGAGGTTCTTAATCGTTGGGATTGGCTGGGATTGCAGTGTTTTCTTTGGCATATCTTCATTTAACTTCATGGCAGGTATATTTTTCTTATCTCATTTGAAACTTTGAGATCTATTTGGTATCACTTTTGCTTTTGGTGATTCTTTTTTTTCAAGTTTTTCTTTTTTTTCTTTCTGTTTTAAGCAGTTCAATTTCTTCTGTTTATATTTCAAAAAAAATAAAATGTGTGAAAACATTGTTATTTTTGTAAAAGGTTTGAAAATTAACGAGCAGCATTTTTGGAAATTAGAAAAATAATGTTTTATGGCTTCAAGTTTACACAAGACAAGATACCGTCTATTATTAATCCTATTATATGTTATATCTTTAAATGTGTCTTCTATTTTCTGTATCTAATGTTTTGATAATATTAGTTTCTTTATTATGTATATACTAATATGATATTGACTGATACAGGATCTATATATGTGAAATGTAGATTATTGAAAATAGTGAATAACATACCAAATGAATCATGTTTTTCTATTGTAAATTTGTAAGTATTTAAATTATTTAATGAAACATGATTTTCCATTATTTATTTTCTTATACACATATTTTCCAGCACACACATATGATACTTCTATTCATTTACGTGCTTTATTAATGGAACCAATTCACAGAAATTTTAAATATAAATTCTTTTTGAGAATTGGAAACTTTACCACTTTTCACTTTTTACCCCTTCTTTTTTTTTTTTTTTGGGACAGCTGTCATTTTTTCTCTTCTATTTTGACTTTATCAATTTCTTTAAAACCTTTTTTCTTCTTCGTTTCTTTCTTCTTTTTTTTCTTCTTTAATTAGTGATACCAAAAGTTACTCAAAGTTTCCACCTTCAATAAGGGAAGCTTGAAATGGTATGATAGCATCCCTCTATCATTACGAGTTGGAAATACAAATTTCAAACGAGGCAATGGAAAATATAACTACTATGAAGTTGGGGTTAGATATGCTAAAGGAAAATATTGTAAGCGACGCCAATCTCCATATCTCAGTATTGTGATAATTGACGAAGTGGGGTATTCCCATGATTCCTAGTAGGAGATAACTCTCTTTGCCAAGGTTGACAGGTTTGTTTGACTCATCGATTTGTTCATTATACTTCTTTTCAACCAAACTTTATATCAAGTCCCAAATTTTCAAATATGTGATAGAAAGAAAATGTAAAGCATACAGCCATTATATACACGCATCCTTATCGCATTAAGGTTTACAGTCTACCAAATGAGAATTAGTAGATTGTTCAATGGGTTTGGAACCTTAAGCAAAGGGTATATCTCAATTTCTTTATTTAGCAAAAATATAATCATGATTGGTTTGGTAATTAAGATTGTACGGGTATGGTACGTGAACTTCGAATGGGCAAAAATAAGAATTTGAGGTCTGAAATGAGAAACAAAAAAAGGCCAGGGACTAAATCAAAAGCTACACAAAGAAAAAGAAAAAAGAAATCAAAAACTTTGTTTATAACGTGAGTCGTAAGGGACCCACCGCGAGTGAGCTCACAAGACACTGTTTCAGTGTTTTGGCCTTTTACTTTTATCACGTGACTTCTCCCTTCTTAACTCCCGACGTTTACGCACTCTGCACGTGCTTCTAACATTTGATTTCCCAGAACTGCCCTTATTTTTTTACCCGATTTTCCCAAAACAACCCCACCTAAATTCACGGTCTTTTTCTCCGTACATCACCGTCGTTAACACGAGCACCATCCTAGACGCCTTGCCCACTAGCTCTTCGCTACGTGGCACCCAAAAACGCATTCCCAACCGTCATACTCCTGTATGTACGACACGTGTCCTCGCCGTAGATACCCCGAGAAGTCTCTCTCTCCGTCTCTGAGGAAATTTCAAAGGCTACATTCAAAACTCGAAAGCTCACTGACTCTAAGGTCTGTCCCTCCCTTTCAACTCTACTGCTTTGCTTTTTGCTCTGTCAAATCTCACTTAGGGTTTCTTTGCAGTGAAGACTGGAGGGTTTTCTAGGAAGATTCAGCTGCAAAAGAGTGAAAGGTTAGATTATTTATTTTCCTCAAAATTTTTGAAATTTGTTGCTGTTTTTTGTGTCTTCTAAGTCTACCCTCTTGTTTGGTTGGTTAGAAAAGAAAATGAAAGGGAAAATTTTTAGTTCATTATTTATTTGGGTTCTGCTTTGTTTATACTAATCCAAGCTGAAATAATGGAATTGTTGGTAGAATTAGAGAAAGTTTTCTTTTTTATGATTTGTTATCAGTTTTTTCTTCATATAATCAGTGAGGAACTAGAGTGTTCAGGGTTTTTCCTGGACGGGATGAGCCAATTGTTTTCATTCTTTACATGCATGATCTTCTTGATACCTTGCATGTTTCAATTTAGCAGAAACTGGAGGAACTCCCAATTGGAAATGGGTTTACAAGGGAAAAAGTTATGGTCTTTCCGTTTGGTTATGCAGGGGATGCTTGTTTTGGAATCTTATGTTGACATACAGTTGAATTGCAAATAAATTTTGTTGATGGGTCAATTGCAAATTGCGAATACTTGATTCATATATTTTTTTTAATGCATGTCTTTGTTCATGTATTACTTTTCAATTGATGTGGGCTAGGATTCAGTTTATGTTGCTTTACATGAAGCCATCATTTTCCAAAATAAGATGAGCAATTAGCATATGGTCCAGGATTATTTATTTTTTATTTGTTTATTTTTTATTTTTTATTTTTTGAGATTCATTTTCAGCACCAATCAAGTAATTCTAGAGCTTACATGGTAAGATTACTTCAGATATAATTGTTGGTGACTCGCAGGATTTCACATCTATTTTAGAACTTTTGGCAACGGATTTATGAATGAACTTCTAGCCTTGTACAGTAATCCTATATAAGATGCCACAAAGTAGTAGAGATAGCAGTATTTGTTTTAATGTCATAGAAATAGCCAAATTCAAGGATTTCTGGAGATGAATGGTATTTTGTGTGGGTAAGAACTGCATATCCATTTGAGAATGATGCACCTTCCATCCTTCTGAGATGGTTTTGCTTTTGCATGCCACTTTCTTTTTTGGCCCAAAAAAAAGTTTGCTTAGCTATTACGGTCTTTCTAGAAGATTTTGATGCCCTTTTACAAGTTAAAATGAAAAATATCCACATTTTTTAAATTTGGTGATTTTCCCTACTCCTATATTCTAATAGTCTGTTTCTTCAAATACTGTGTTATATTGAAAGTGAGATTGTTGCTAGAGCAGAAAACTTATTTCTGCCACAAATGCTTGCATTGAGCAAATTAGTGGCATTTTGGTCTGTCCACTCTTTATAGTTCGATTTGTTGTAGGAAGAGAGCTTTAGCGAGGTCCTTCCATTTCTATTACTGCAAAACTTTTTGTTATTGATATTGGTAGCATAATCGAAGTGAGGATGGCTGGTTCCTACCAAGAATTCTTTTGCCCCTAGAAGAGCTCCTCCTTTAACTACTTGATTTAACCCATGCATATGTTGATCGAATTTGGTTTTTTCCGGTTCATATACACATTATACGGTATCAGTTTGCACACAATCTTGAAAACTTTGTTGTGAATGTATGTTTATGCACTTTTACTCATTTCTGCTTCTCATTTAGATATAACGTATCCTACCGTGTTTATTTGTAGCAGGACAGTAATGAAAAGGTAGAACACGGGTCAAAGATACTTGTCCAACATTGGCCATGGATCAAGCAGAGCAAACACAACAGCAACAGCAGTCACAGCAGCCTGTGATGGGAGTTGTAGCTGGTGCTGGCCAGATGAACTATGGTACAAGTCCCTACCAAAATGCTCATATGGTGGCTTCTGGTGCACCAACAGTAGCTTTGCCTTCCCCAACTCATCCATCGGCCTCTTTCTCTAATTCCGCACACCAGCTTGCCTTGCAACAAGCTCAGCACTTCCATCACCAACAGCAGCAGCAACAACAACAGCAGCTTCAAATATTCTGGGCCAACCAAATGCAAGAAATTGAGCAAACAAACGACTTCAAGAACCACAGTCTTCCACTTGCTAGGATCAAAAAGATTATGAAAGCTGATGAAGATGTCCGGATGATATCAGCGGAGGCTCCAGTCATCTTTGCTAAGGCATGTGAAATGTTCATTCTGGAACTGACTCTTCGCTCTTGGATCCACACAGAAGAGAACAAAAGGAGGACACTGCAGAAAAATGATATTGCAGCTGCAATCTCAAGGACAGATGTCTTTGATTTCCTGGTTGACATTATTCCCAGAGATGAGCTGAAAGAGGAGGGACTTGGAGTCACAAAGGCTACCATTCCTGTGGTGGGTTCACCTGCCGATATGCCATACTACTATGTCCCTCAGCATCCTGTTCCACCCACAGGAATGATCATGGGAAAGCCAGTCGACCAAGCCACACCACTATACACAGGCCAGCAGACTAGACCGCCAGTGGCTTTCATGCCATGGGCACAAGGCCAACCACAGCATCAGCAACCTCAACACCAGGACACTGATTCTTGATGATGCAAGGCAATCAAGCCAATGTAATAGGCATGACGTTATGCAGTTTATTAGAAGTTAAATTATCAGCAAATTAAGCTACTAGTCTAGTAGGGATGAAACCACCCAAATCCGAGCCTTTGTAATATCTAGGGGGCTTATGATATTTCTTGGGATTTTTATTGCGTGCTTCCTTTTGAAGAAGATGATAAAAAGACTAGTTTTTTTCTAATTGATAAGAGTTTCCTTACCCTGTCTGTTGGGATGAAATTAGTTTCTGAGCCAGAAATCAAACACCTATCTGTATTCAAGAAAACTGATGAGAAACCAATTGAAACAAGAACAATTTACTCAATAGAAGAAAGAGAAGACAAAAAAAGAAAGAGAAGACAAAAAAGGAAAGAGTTAAGGCAGTAACTTAACAGACAATCCATTATGTAGCAGGATTCAGGAATAGCAAAATGATTCACTAGGCTACTCAAGACCTAGCCCCAATTTCATTACAGACAATCATCAACCAACCCAATTCCTGCTTCTTAGCCTAATATATATACCGAAGAACCCTAAGTCCCAATCAGTGCATGTCATCTTCATCATCAGGATCCACGCCCTCGAAGGCCCACGCATTATCATTCCTGATCCTCTCTTCCTCCTCCTGCGTGAAATCGTTCTCGATCCCAAAGAACTTCCTCACGTACTCAACGCTTTTGTTCTGGATCCTGTCCGCAACATTCTGATCCAGCACGTCAAGAAGATCCTTGATATTCAGATAGTTGGCGGCCAAGATCAGTTCTTTCAGACTCTCGTTACTCTGCTCGTTGACGAAATCAGCGTCGTACTTTTTGGCTTCCTCGGCGAGACCCTTGGCTTTGTAGTCGATGTGTTTCTTGCAGTATCCAATGATCTTGACCAGCTGATCCGCGGCGACGTTGGGGAGGGGGACGACGGCGTCGACGGTGGCGTCAGATTTCTCGTCAAAGAAAGATTTCACAGTTGCAAATTCCATGGCAACGGTCTCGTCCACGTCGAAGAGTTGATCGTCAGCCGTCCTCAAAGTAATCATCTTGACAGCCGATTGAGTATCGGGGGCAGACATTTTCGAAGGAGCAGAATTCGAATTAGGGTTCTATCGAAAGAGACGAGAGAAAGCTTTGGGAGTGGGAGAAGGGTTAACGAGGTGTGTTTATTTACGCGAGAGCAGTGCTAGGGGCACTCGCCTCTTGCACTCTCCGTGCAACACTTCCCCTTTCATTGGGCCACGTAAGCTTGTTTCGCCTTCGAGTGGAACATCTTTACGACCAAAATAACGTGGCCCAATAAGAGTGAAAGTGTTGGCCGGAGAGTGCAGAAGGCGAGTGCCCCTAGCATTGCTCTTTACGCAACGTTTGGATAAAAATTAGTAAAGTAAGCAAAAGAAGTGAAAGTGAAGGAAA